TCTGTCAGGCTGTTCAGCCTTCATCCTACACAAGTCTGAAGAAGAGGAGAGCATATAGTCAGCGCTACCCCAGGCCCAACTTCATCCCCAGCATATACCTAGCCTGACCTAGCCCAGACCCACTTTCCTTCTGCAGTCCTTATTCTCTGGCCCATACTGTCATGAGATCCAAGCCCCTCATGCTCCTCATTGTAATTTTTTTCCTACCCCTGGCAGGGCAGGTTTAGCCTCCCATTGGAACAGATGGGCACAGAATTACAGAGAAGCTCAGTTATTTGCTGACAGTGACAGAGCAGCTAGTTGAATCCAGTCTCCCATATCCTAGACCAGTCAGGGCCAAACTTAGAGGCAGGCTTGCCACAAATTATGCCCCGTGCCCTCCCTGAGTGGCACTCTAATACCCTTCCCCCTGCCTGATCTGCTGCTCTACTTTCTGCTCCCTGCCCCCTCCCTAATCTACCACATCCTACACACAGAAGCTGCACCTTTGCAGCAGGTTCGCTGCCCTTGTTTTGGACCAGTGGCTCCAAAACCTTTTTTTATTGTGTACCCCATTCAGGATTTACCAGCTGCTCTATACCCCTAGCAGCATATTTTATATTATAACCCCTTAAATGCCAATTCTTATTACAATGAAAATTAAATCTGCCATTACACATCTCCCACGTAACCCCAAAGATGTCTTACACACCCCTAGGGGTTCAGGTACCACAGTTTGGGAGCCCCTGTTCTAGACAGTGCTGTAACCACTGAGATGCTGTCCCTCTTTTCTCTTAGCTAGTGAGGGTGAAGCATACTGCCTCAGTTGAGGGCTGTCCCTACCTATGTTTCAGGACTACTAGGTATCAGGAGAAACCAAATTCCCCGTTGCCACGGTAACAAAGCATCTGTCAAGTTATCCTAGAAACAGTGATATTAATAGTTCCACAGGATTTCAGAGGGTATTTCCCATCCCAGCCAAGTTTGGGTTTTTTTGGGGGGGGAGCAAGAGGAGTCACCACCTCAGAGTGGGGTCCTCTCTCTCGCTCATCGGTGTTCAGGCTCCACCAACTGGCAGCGGCCATGGGAAGCTCTGAGGAGGAGTCGAGCTCCATCCTAGTGCCACGCAGGTGCCCGCATGGCTCTGCCGCTTGGCGCTGATGGGAAGGCTCCCATGGACCAGCAAGAAGGGACAACTCCCACCTGCAGCAAGTGCTCCCCCACTTCTGGCTCCCCGCGCTTTGCCTTCAGCCAGCGCTTGCCCCAGGCTCATCTCCAGCCCCACCATCTCCCCCCGGCGGGTGCAGGGGCAGGAAGCTGGCTAACTGACTTCCCCCGCTCAAGACAGAGCAGCCCGGGGTGGGGGGGGGACAAGGCAGGGGCCGCGAGGCAAGACTGGTTTTTGTTTTTTTAATGTTGGGTGTTCGGGGCCAGAGCAGTTCAACCAAGCCCAACGCCGCGAGTCTGCGCAGATCCATGCGCGGCCCGACAGCCGGCAAACATCCTCCACCCCGCAGGGGCTCGGGATATCCCCGAAGTCTCTCGAGGTCGGGAGGGGAAAGACCCCGGCCAAGGCCCCCGGGAGCTGAGGCAAGCTCTGCGCTGCAGGCGGCCGGGCCGGGCCGGGCCCAGGCGGCGCCAGCGAGGCGCTTCCCCCGCACGAGCTCCGCGGCCCCCCGGGCTGGTGCCTCGCCCCTGCCTTACCTCCA